AATAGCAGCTGGCAACAATAACACAAAGTCCTCAATCTGTCCACATCTACCCTGTTATGCCCGGCTCATTTCAGACATAACAGAGCATGTATATCCACACAGCGATAATTTTCACTAACTCAAAACTTCTTAATGGCATTCAAAGAAAAACTGAAGGAATGGTAACTAGGAGCTAACCTAAAAGCTTCTCGATAACTACAAAGCAATCAAAGCAAAGCAAATGAAAACCAAGCTGGGTGGCTGAGAGGCACCAACCTTCCAGGAGGAGAGAGACAGAGGCAGGCTGGAAGAAAACCAGCGTAAACAAACTGCCAAGCAGGTGAAGTCATTTCCTTTAATAGATGGAAGCTTCTGATACTTATGACCTTAAAGAGGAGGAAGCAAAAATCAGCCCCACCAGCCAAACAAGGTTATTTCAGTTAACTAAAAACTAAAACTAGAAGTGAAAATTTTTTTTAGTTAACTAAAATAAAATTGAACAAAGAAATAAATAATTTTGTGAACTTCTTAAACTAGCTGGAATAAAATGTGGCTAGAGTTTAGGTTAAGTCTTTATGAGTTTGACCCCCATAACAGTAATCATAAAGACTAAAACTAACACTGACACTAAAGACTAAAGTGCAACACACTCTGGAAACTAACTGAACCTGAAATTGATAGAAAACAAAAACTAAAAATGAAATAAAATTAAAATACGGAACTGTAACGACACAGATCACAACCCATCATCCATCCAAATAAGACGAACACACATTTCAGAAGCTGAGTTTAAGCTGAAAAGATTAGCAGGCAGCTGTGGTGGGGCAGATACCGGGCTGATGGCCTTCTACAGCCCGTCTGCTGCGGCCTCCTCCACGCGCTCGAGGCTGGAGGCCATCCCGGAGGAGCTGGATCATCTGAGCTACTTGAACAGGCTGCAGGTAGTGCCTCGTGTTACCAGCGGTAACAAAGACATTATGAAAAAGTCAAACCTGAAAAAAATCAGCTGGGAGGGATGAAGAGAGAAGTCTGCTCCCACCACCTGCTAATGGTTTATGTTTCCTGGAGAGGCTGAAGCTTAACTGACTTTTAGTTATAGTGTGATGATGTGAGGAAAGTAAGACATCTGGCTTTTTCTTTAACTAACGAGTGAAGAGTTTGTACAGACAAATAATAACAACCCGAGTCTGAGTTTTAGCCAATCAAAGCACTTTATTGCACTGTATAGTGTGACGGTGAGCCAGTAGCAGGCTCTTATAAAAGTGTCATTTAATCTTTTTATCATGTGTACAAAACAAGTCACACACACACTTGTACCGTACAAAATCAACACTATTTACATACAATATACACACACACACACCTAACACGCACACACCCAGACACACACCATGCAGTCTCCCTCCCATCAATCCCCGAGATGAGTCCTCCGAGTTTATGATGGGGTTTCCGTCTTGATCTACATTATCCACCTCACACACACACACACACACACACACACACACACACACACACATCCAGGGACTGAAACATGACCGCTACGCTGCTACTAACAAACCCAAACTGCTAAGTTATCCAAACAAGCGCTAAGCAACTTCTGATATGCATAAAAATAAGTTTTCTGCTCATAAACACGTGGAGGAAAACTGATGAGAAAACTCAAAGTGAAACAAAGAAGAAGAGCGATGAGATGATGTCACACGTGATTCAGCCACGGGGATGTAAACAAACGACGCTTCACTGTTTCCTCTAAACAACGGCAACGCTCTGAATAAAACCTTTTATACAACCTGCGGAGTGTCTCGCAGGTTTCAACGCTTCCATAGGTCACAGTTAGCCAAGAGTCTCGGCGTGAACTGATATAGATTATTTTAAAAGCTTTTCATAGAGTTATTAAACTATCTGTCTTTAAATCTTATATACCCTCAGTACATATGAGGAAGTGTCTAAGTCAGTGCACATCAGGTGGTAGCTGTTGTACCAAAGCTCCGAGGACGTTCTCTGCCGGGGATTCTTCACTCTGCTGTGGGACTCCTTACTTTCCTTTTTTGAGCTGTTAACTTGTGGAAATGTTTGTTGTCTGATATATTATTAATTCTGCACTTGCTGCCAAACACTGGTGAACACTCATATTAAACATATCGTCTGCATCACATTTACAGCAGGATCTACTGTGGTGTTGTACAGAGGCAGAGTTATTTTGTAATCGTACTTTGAGCGACGACTTTAACACAGACAACAACACAGTAACATTTCAGTTTGGCCATAAACACATTAGATCCATGTTTCCTCTCAGTTCAATCAGTTTACACTCAATAAAAAACACTAAAAGTCTGTTTAGACTTCGTTCTTGTTTTCTGTGATGTAGCCGGCCTGAAAAAGCTTTGGGAATTCCACCACATACAGAGGTTACACAGCTGTGTGTCTGATGTTTAAAGTTGGGAGATTATAATACTGGAACAATCATTAAACAGTGCACACAGGCAGCAGCTGAATCCCTGCGGTAAAGAACGTCCCTGGGGGATTATTGCTACAATAGGAGCTTTTCTATGTAAACTTTATCTGGAGTTCCCTTCGTCACAACAGACTCCAGATGTTACTGCAGCTACATCTGCATTTACTTCCCCAGACAGCAAGCAGCTACTTGATTTATTACCCGCACTAATGATTGGGTGCACCCGTCTTTTTTGGCAATAAGACGGAGAAGTGTTTACTTTGTGATTGAGAGTGATTATTGTCTCCCAAGTTTGCACATTCGTTCATTAAAAAAAGGCCCGAGGACGCGTGTGGATTTCATTATAAATGTCAGGAGAAGGATATTTTATGCAGCATATTTTTTTTAAATCCATTTAACCGTTCATATGTATGGAGAGCCACAATTATTTTTTACAATTATCCATTTTCTTTACATGGAGGACCAAAGATACCTTCAAAAACAAACACCTGTCTCCAACCAAAGCTGCCAAAATCATATATATTTTGTTATGTTCATCCAATTTCTCTCATTAGCCATCGTGTGCCAGTTCATATGGGACATATGAAGGACAAAAGCTGCCAAACTGAAAACTAAAACAGTATCTCAAAAATGAATTAATATGAGATTAAACCTTATAAAAAGGTTGAATTTTATCGTCTTTATTACATCGTCATAAACTTGTTTCTATGTTTATTCACCTGCATATTCAATTTCTGTTTGAATTCTTCAATTAATTTACGTTTCCGTTAGAATTTTCCACTTTATTTATCATTTCTATGTTTTGTCTTGCTTTTCTGCATATTACTAATTTATTTTTGAGTTTTTTGAAAATTAAAAATTTCATAAAATTTCTTTTCGCTGTTTTAAATCTCACATTTTATTTATTCGTTTATTTGTTTTGGCATCTTTTTTGTGTCCCATACAAATTTGGCCAGTTTGAAAATAATAATAATAATAATAATAATATTACAGATAATGAATGTTTCCTTTGAGTCTTGCTGGCCGCTGGTCAGAAGGTAGTAAATGTAAAATTGCTGCAGCAACACCTTGATGCTGTTGTCTTTGACATGATGCACAGTTTTCCCTTAAACTCCCTTTAAATAACGATAATAACAACATTTCTTTGATATTCACACAGTGCACTTTGCTTGACATGCTTTGGGTGCTATAAGGACTGCAAGTAATTCAGGAAGGTAACTGAAGGACTGGTTGACAGCTAAGATGATCATAGACGTTTAATGTGCATGTTACAAAATTTGCCGCACGTTTGCTTTAAATGAGACACTTTATAGAAAGCTGCTAAAATTGCATTTGTGGTATTTTCTTTTTAGCCAGAAAGGTCACAAGATAAAAAGACGCAAATCTTTCTTAACTAGATCCAAAAAAGATAAATCGGTGTATTTTTTTCTCAGACTTTGGACACCGAAACGCGCACAGCCACTGAATTTCTCTCCGTTTTTTGGATGTCTTCAGTGTGTCTCCACATAAATGTCTCTTCTTTGATCGTCTCAGGATAAAAATCTGTTTAAAATCAGTGTTTGATTCACATTGAAACGACATAAAATGTCCCTGTTGCACACATGAACACAGACAGAGACACACACACACAGTCTTCACACACACACACACGCGCAGAGGGTGTGGGCGGAGAGAGCTGCATAAAGGGGCTACTACACCTCATTGTGTTTTAAGTACCTCTCCATATAGATTATTATGTCTATGTACAATATTTATATTTTTACAATAATCTGGCTGCCCCTGCTCTAATTTGAAATAATACCACAAATCCAGGATTTTTTTAATTCAACTGGTAAAACATGATGACAGGTACAGGCTCTAGTACTTCTCTCGCTCTACGTTTACCTCCTAAAATGACACGCGGTGTGACGACGGGAGCCGGCGCCCCCTACACAGTGTTCCCCTAAGGCTTTCTACAGTGACGAGCTCCTGGTAACGGTCACGAGGTCAAGCGGGGGTGTAAAAATGGTCGCAACACCACTGAGCAACCAACCGATCAATCAATCAACCAGCACAACACGACTAGAAAGAAAACAGACGACTTAAGACCACACCATATGCAGGTTCAAAAATACAGTACATCTTGATTCTGGGAAATAAATGAACAACAACGGCGAAATGCACAGCATACAAACGCATGCTCGCTCTCTCTTAAACACACACAGACACACACGCGCGCACACACTCAGGCTACATGTTGTAGGCCACGTAGATGGGGTCTAGCTGGTCTTGTAAGAAGCCGTCGCGGAGGTGCATGCGCTGTTTCTCGCCGCGGGAGTTGATGGGGATGACGCCGATGTCCGTCACCACGACCACGCCCACGATCAGGTAGTGCTCTTCCAGCACCGCCTTTGTCACCATGGGAACAAGGTCCAGGGCTTCCTGCTCAGAGCCCTCCAGCTCCACCACCACCACCAACAGGTTGGTCCAGGGGAAGACCGCACTGATGGAGACAGAGACGTGCAGGAACTGTAACATCTGGAGTGGTTTCGCAATTCAAAGCTGCATTAAAGTAGGAATGCTGTGTGTAAATAAGGCCACGTGCCACGCCTCATTTTTCTGGAGCTCTACAGAGAATCACATGACTGAAAAACAAACAGGCTGAACGAAACAGAATTTTCCTTTCATTCCCTTTTCAGCCACTTGAGGGAAGAAAAACTCCACAACAACAAGCTGGTGGAGCTTCAGCAGCTAATAAGTATCAGCGTAAAGACAAAGAGAGCTTGGCCTGTGCTAATCAGCTAGCACAGTTTTCTCATGTGATCCTGTTGTGGTAAACCCGAGACTCAAACTCAGTTCCAATCCAGCCTCTAAACCCTCATCCTGTAACTTTCACTCCTTTTGCTTGCTCGCCTGGAACGCCCAAACCAAAAACTTTCAGTAGAAGTGAGCCACAAAGCCAGCACTGACTCTGCACCGATGCACAGCACTGTGTGTCCAACACACAACTACACATAACTACAGTAATAAACACAATCCAGTGCCTTTCATGGACACTTTGCACATTAATGCTCATGTTTTCAAAAACAGATTCAGAACTGATTTTAGTTTCTATTTTGCTGCTTTAAATGTCAATAACAAAGGCCAAGAAGTAATAAAAGCAATAAGCCAAGAGCGAGGCGCAGGGCAACGACTAAAGCTCAAGCTTTAAAAAGTAAACCTGGAATAACTAGTAATCACTCGTTCGTGATGTCTGGAGATGTTTGTGTCCACAACAGACTCTAATCCACGCCTTCATTAGGAAACCCTTCAGCAGCCGCAAGACTGAGGAGGAGGAGCCACTGGGTGGGAAGGGTGTAGGGACCAGACTGGAGTTAAACCTTTTTATCCTGAAGCTGGACTGACTCCAGATCCTCCATCATGGACAGCAGCTGCTGACGACAGTCTCTGCTCTGCTCTGAAAGCCTGCTCTCAGGTCGCTCTAACCACGACCTGCAGCACGACTGGAAAACCAGTGTATGCGTCTCTACGACGAGCTCACTAAGGCTGCAGAGCAGAACGAGGAGCGCTGCCAGCTGCAAACAGTGGAACTGGGAGTCCATCTATGGGACGAGGAGCTCAGTGGATGGACAGATAACATCTGATCTGTCATATATCTCTCAGCTCACATTTGGCGGCATTCGCGTGCCCGATTGTGTCGGTTCAGGAACAAAAAAAGATAAAAGTTTTGTTTGCAAATGAAAAATGAACATTTCATCAACAGCATGCATTTTAAATGACACTTAGTTCAGAGGCAGAACTGTCATGGTTTGACTCACCTTAAAGTTTACTGCAGGTCTCTTTTAGTTGTATCTAAACTGCAGGATATTGGATCTGATTAAAGTAGCTTGATTACTGCTAATGAGATTTTCCTCTTGCAGCTTCTTCTCTTACACACTGGTAGAAACACATCTCACAACCAAGCAGCTATTGTTCAGTGATGCTCTGGTGATTGCTGAGGACTAAACTCTTGAATATGGATTTGTTGATGATGGTTTCCCATCTTTACTCTACCTGTAACATTAAAATGCGATCGACTGAGCACTGTGTGAATCATTGACATTATTCACTGCTTGTCTCAGTGAACTATCGTCCTCTGTTACATGCTATTTGTGGTCGTTTAATATCCTTCAAAGACTTTGCTGCTGTTGTTACACGTACCACTCCACGATGCTCTTGTGTGCGCGGATGACGGAGGTCTCGATGTCGATGGGGTGGTACCTCATCCCTCTCAGCTCCATGGCCTCCTCCAGAGCTCCCACCACGAACAGAGCATCGTGTCGCTCTGTTCAAGCAGACGCAAAGACACACAGTTAGTCACGGTGCGACGAGGGCGATGACACGTTGCACACAGCGAGACAAACAACCTCCGTTGGCGTCCGTGAGCTCGGTGCGGCGGAGGAAGCCCAGGTAGCCCGTCCTGGCCCAGACGGTCTGAGTGTCTCCGAAGCTGAGTCTGGAGTTGAAGTGGTCGGACTGAAGAACCTCCTCACCGTAACCGCTGTAGTAACCGCTGCCGTTATGAGCGCTGTGAACCCAGATCTGCATACCAGTAAAATTTACGATTAGCTGTGTTGAGTTTACTCTTTGGTCGGTAAAAATATATATTTTTAATAAACCAATCACACTTTGAACGCCTAGCGATGGAATAAATCACAGGACTCTTGCTCATAAATTCTTAGGTTGAGTTAGGAGCTCAACAATTTTGCCCCAAAAATGCCAAAAACAAAGAAAGAACAGGAAGAAGAAAAAGAAGACAATCAGAAAAGAAAGAAACGGGTCGTGTCTGTCGACCTCTCCGAGATGAGAGTCTCCAAGCGGTCCTTTGGTCTCCGGATTGGCGATGATGATACGAACTCCGGGCAGGATCTGAAAAATAAGATGTAAAAATAAAGAATCAAACAATCTCCCTGCTTCCTGCTTCACTCTGACTCATGCAGGAATACAGCCCCACAAATAGAAGCAGCTGTTTATGTTAAAAACACTTTACATTTCACTGTCGGTTCACACCATCGCCTGTTAAAGCTGCTCGGACATAAATTACATAAAACAACCTTATAAACGGATGTGAATGCACTTCAAATAACAGCCATTTATCATGTTTACCGAGCAGAAGTCCTCTGATGTTTTTGCACGTACACAACAAACATCGTGTCAGTGAAGCGATAAAAGAAGCGATGGACTGAGTGGAAAGCAATCATTAGTTTTCTCTCCTCCTCCCACATGCAGTGAGTCAAAAACAACAGCGTGCCGATCGATGACCAGCCCTCAATCATGACGTCCTCTCTTTGTGTGTCAACGTGGGGGAAGAAGACGTGAACGACTCGGCGAGCTCCAAGAAAAGATCCATCAGTTTGCTTTCAGGACAGATCGGGACAGTGGAGAGTTTAGGAAACTTCATGTGCTAAAAGCACGAGCTTCAGCGAGCTTTAAAACATCAAACCAAGAACAGTTTGTTAAATCTAAGAGCTGAAAGGCATTTGAGGACTATGTTAGCTTCAAAGCGTTCTGTCAATGTCACATTGTGTCTTAAGTGGCCACAAAGCTGCTACTCTTCATTTGTAAAATTGTAGGTCTAGGAGGCATCCAAGGTTAGAAACTCATGAAAAATGTTCAAATTCACAACTTTTGATCTAAATGAAGACAGACTCAGAAACCCCTGTCTTGGTATTTAACCAAGAAAAGTCTTTCTCTGTGGACTGCTGGTTTCCGAGGTTCTGGTCTTGAGATATCCCGAATGAATAAAGAAACTAAAGGTTTTAACAGACTGATCATGGTGTTAGCTGATCTCAGTGGTAGCCCACAGCAGTTGTTTTGTCAGCTGACACTCTTCTTCCAATTGTAAAGTACAATTCTCGGTGCCTTTTTTAAACTGCTTCAGCCTACGAACAGTTACTGTGCATCTGCGAGCTGCTGTGGAACCACCTCCATCCCACATCTCTCTCTGTTCTCCACTGAGCCCTCGCTGCAGCTCCCACAGGAGACAAACCACCAAATATAAATGAGCTGAAGATGGAAATAACAGAAATCTAGAATCTTCTGTCTCAACCGAAGACAGTTTATTTTGGCAGCTTTAATTTAACATCAACATCTTAACACTGGACTCTGCATGCTTAGTCTTAGTTTCAGAGCTTCAACATGTCAATCAATCAAATCCCTCAGACATGCTGCCTCTTAATATTTAGACATTTTGCACTGCTGTCAGTCCTCCTGCTGGTCTCACTGCTCAGAGCTCAGTAATGAAACTGAAGTAAGTGCTGCTCAGCCATCAGTATCTCTGCAGATCCGAGTTGCTGTATGACAGCTCTGTATTCAGGAACGTATCACTAGACCTTCAACGCTAACACCAGTTTTAAAAGCTTTTTAGGGAGGTTTGATGTCTTTATCAGGCTGACAGAGCTGAGTAAACACGCCAGAGAGTGAGAAGGGGGCGGCATGGACCAAAAACCCGTCCTTAGTGCCAGAGCGCCACTTTCATTTCATTCCTTTAAAAGCATCAAGCTCATTCCAATCACTTTAAAGCCACTTTCACACAGATGCTGCAGCCTTGAACTCTTCTAGAACATATTGAAAGGTTCTTTATCTAAAATCACAAATATCTGACAGATCTGAAATGAAAGCTTTCATTCCAACAGTTTAAACGTTTGTGTTAAGTCTGACTGAGCCCATATGAGAAAAAACACAAATGATAGTCCTCTGAATTCACAGTGAGCAGGTGCCATGTGTCCTGCCCTCTGCAGGTTCATTCCAGGCATCTCTCTCTGCTAAACCAGAGTATTTCCAGTAGTCACGACACATCTGAGGCTGGAGGTTTCCTGCTCTGTCCTACATATGAGAAAGGCTAACCTTTGTCCAGAGGTCATGGGCAACAACTTTGTTACCTTTTCCAATGGCCACCAGTGGCAACTCCTCTGATTTTAAAGAAATTCCAGTTTGGAGTCGTCTCTCTTCCACAACATGTGTTTTGCACAACGTGTCTTCCATCCCCAACCAGTCCCAGTTTCTTCCTGTTAAAAGAGAGTTCTTCCTTCCCACTGTTGCCAAAGTGTTTGCTCATCTGACTGTTGGGTTTTCTTGGTTTTCTGTGTATCGCTGTAGGTCAGGCATGTCACACCTGCTCTTAAAACACCAAGAAATCTGCGACATACATACGATCTATGTTACTGTCACCAATTGATGTTTTTCAGGGGCAGAAGCAGGAGTGCGTTATAGAGGAGCATGATGTTACAAGCTGTATGAAGTCTGGAGTCAGTAATCGATGTTACTCCCTTTGTGCCAAACCATAAACAGATGTAAAGAGAAATAATGCAGCACCGTCAATCACAACAGTGAATAAGTGAAAATGAGCACGGTTCCATAGGTTTCTGTTTAAAGTCAGGTGCCCTCTGCCTGCTTTATTAGAAATGTTATGGCACTGTCCCAAACACTCGACCCTCACCGACTCTGCAAAGCTCACGGTGATTTGAAACATGACGTGGCATGTTGAGCTTTTTTCACCACATAAACTGACTTTAACCAAACTAATTTTATTAGTCTGCTAAACATTTATACCACTGATGTTTCTTCTAATTACAGCATTAGAAATCACTGTTTAAACCTCACTAAATATCCTAGTGTGAGTTTCATATTTCTGCCGCAGCAAAAGGCAAAAAGGCTGCTCAGCAGCTGTCCTTTCACTGATACATGGAAAGACAAATGCAAAGAAATAAGCTTCAAATAACACGCTGTTCAGCATTTGCTGTTTTTAAATGTACTCTAAAAATAACCTGGTTTCACTGGTCTGCAGCTACTAAATGTGGGCGAGCCGTTTACCAAAGGTTATGATTTTTTCTTCCTTTGCCATCTGCCAGGTGCACATGAGTAGCTGCAATGTCTTTATTTTTTTGCATTTTGTCACAGTTATTTGTACATCAAGAAGTAAATAGTTTCCTATATAATAAATGGTATACATTGTCATGGTAACACAACTTTTTTATTTAAATAATAAAGCCATCATTACAAGAAACCCTTTTTATTTCCTGCTACACGTAAAAAGTGACTAAACAGCAGCTTTGCTGAGCTAAGTAAGAGTTTCTAGAGAGTGAAAAATGAACATGGAAGTTAAAAAAAATTACAGTTCCTCTAACGTTAGAGGACTGGCTCAAAAAGCTACTCAATCTCTAACCTCATGCGCACAGCCTGCTATAAAAAAAAGGGGGTTTGGTCTCTGTGGCTACTTCAACTCTATGATGGGTGACACGTTTTTATAATTGTCTGTTTTAGACTTTGTTGGGGCTCAAAGTCACTCTGAAGGCTGTAGAAGTGGCAAAGTTCCAACTCTGAGCTCGAAGCGCGCATGAACTGAGAGGCACTGAGCGTAAGCATCGCATCCTTTAGATTTGGCATAAAATTCACCCAGAGGCCTCCACAAAGAAAGCTTTCAATTGTCTTTTGAGGCAGAGATTTGGAAAAGGCTCAGACATCGCAAATAAAAATGGTCTGATACGTTACAGGGTTTTCTAGGGTACGTTTAAGGCTTCCTCCTCACATCCACATGAATCCTAATCTAAAACTTGTAAAACTTTTCGGGTCGGGCAGCTCTGCAGTTGCACTAATGGACAAGCACGCATGTTTGACAGCTATGTAATAGTCGTCTCTCTCCTCCCACATGCCCACCGACAGAAAGGGAGGATGAACATTTGAAGGCTCGTCATCGACTCAAACCTGCTGTCTGTTTTGACTCACTGAATGTGGGAGGACACGCAGTGAAAAGCAGAGAATAGTCCTGGAACGTGCTGCCATTAAAATTACATCTTCATCCTGGCGTGTCTTTGGTAATTTGCTGTCAGCTGCTCAGTGTCGGTTCATGTTTCACCTAAAATTTCATGAATCGCCTCTCATGTGGAACTTGAACTTCTGTGGGGTTTAATGAAACCTCTTGTACTTCTTAGCACTATGCTGATTGGATGCTTTGATTTGATTTGAAACTACATGCAAATTTTAATGTATAAATATTAATGCACTCACCTTGCCAGACTCCATCAAGGGGAGACTGTGAGGAGAACCTCTCTCCACTAATCGAACCCTGGAACAAATGTGTTATCGTCAAAACTTTTTGCAGTAAAGCGAGAGGAAGACGGCTGACGGGACTTACTGACAGGTTACCGTACCTGTCGTGACGCAGCGCTCTCATGTCTACGTACACAGTAGTGGGGTCCGGCCCTGAAGTGCCCTGCAGCCAATCACAGTGATCAGAAAGATTTAGTTTCCCAAACTCTCCGACAGCGTTTCACTGGAGCGATGAGCTGACTGTACAGTGGGTGAACAACTTAAACGGGAGAGAAGCAGCTAAAAAAAATACTATTTTTGGTTTAAGAAGCTAAGAAGAAGTGAAGCTAAGTGGGATATTGCAGTGATATTTGCTCTCTACGTTTAACTGATCCTCATATGAGGATTATTAATAGTCGCAGGATTCAGGAAACCTGTTGAAGTCCAACAGAAGAGCCCAGCCCTGACCTGGGCTTAAAACCAGGAGCCTCCTGGGTCAGACAACAGCACTACACATGAGCCACTGTGGTGCCAAAACAAAGGGTTCGGTGCCGACACAAGAGGAGGGAGGGGGAGGCACAGGAAAGGAGGTACAAACAGATTCCTTTATGCGAATATACAGAGGAAGCAAATCCAGGAAATTTCAAAAGGAAACTCTAAAGATGAGGAAGATTAGGTCACTAACTGGGTTAAATCTACTGATTTATTATTACAAGTTTTCAATTTAATTTTGCTTTCACATGCAAGGATATCATGAGGAAAGCTCCCAAACAATGACGATGGGAGCGCTAGTTTGGACGACTTCCTGGCGACTTTCACAAAGTAAGTTTGTCATGATTGGGCTTTTGTTTTATGATTTCTTACTATAAGGTAGTCTGTCTGAAGATCTCCTGATAAGCAATTACCAGTGCACGTAGGAGGAAGTCTTACAATTGACATCCATTAACCACTGTCTGTATAAACCTCGGCTCCACCTTAAGACAGACCGACTTTGGGGATAATAAATCTGCACGATTTCCATGCAAATCAGAAATACGGCCACTTGTGTGCATTGCTCATCCTCGGTGCATTTGGTAATCTAACCTGACACTGCGTATGTGCAATGTAACAGCTTTCAGTGGCTTAGAAAATATAATTTTTATTTTCAAACCATCTGATTAACAGTTTCAAGTATTTCTTTAGACAAAGTTTAACCTTGTCCAAGTTTTCCTACTTAGGGACTAGAAATCAGTGAGCAGGAACATCCCTAACCCACTGATAAAAATTCAAAGAATTTAAGCTGCAGAATACTTAGAAGGATAAAACCGTTGAGTGCAAAGCTCCATCTGAACTCTACCAAGTTTTTGTGATAACTGCATGTACAGAATAGTCTGCAGGAGCAGCTGGTTTGCTTTTTACCTGCAGGCATATGGCCAGGTTGACTCTGCAGCCGAAGGCTGTGCTGACAGAGCGCGGGTGAAGGCCGAGGTCTTTGAAGAGCTTAGAGAAAGAGAGTGTGAGCGCCATCCTGGGCCTCTCCTCTGCCACCACCACACAGGCTCGAACCCGGGACAGATCCAGACCCCGAGCCTGCGAAAGAGACGAAAGGAAAATTATATCTAATCCCAGAGAGTCCAGCTGTGGACTGCTGGAATGAGAGAAAAACCCTTTCAAATATAAAGTTTTTCTTCTGACTTTCTGCCTCTTTAACCTACTTAGTTCACCAGAATAATACGACGCTCAAATCCCTTCTTGTGTAGGTGTTACATAAAAAAAAAAATGTGACTAAAAATAAAAAAGTACAAAAGTATAAAGTTTGCTTCATCTGTAGCTGTAAAGGAGACAAGAAAAAAGTGCTTTGTTTCTGCTTTTCTCTCAGCGTTTAACGCTCAGTCTCCATGGAAACTTAAAGACAGATAGTCACTAAAATTAACTCTGTGGCTTCTATCCGTGACCAATCAGAGGCATCGGTGTCTGTAACTCCAGCTTTCAGATGTGTCCTCGGGCTGAGCAGATGGAGACAGAGTTTATTACCGCTGAGCAGAGGAGAGCGTGAGGGAAGTGAGCTAAGCAGTGTCAGACTTGGTGGAGCTGCTGTCTGCTCACTCACATGGAGGCTGTGGGTTTATCAGCTGTGTCACTTTACTGTTCCGTCGTCTTATTTTGAAGGTTTAGCCACTGTGACCACATTCAGACAACTCAAACATCTTTGAGAGCACAAGACAACAGTTCTGCTCTGGAGATTTGCTAAAACGTCAAGATCCACTTTAACCAGTACTCGCAGCAGGTGGGGAGCTTGTTTACATGCTGACACAACAAACTCACAGAGGCTGATAAACAGAGCAACAACTAGAGGAACTTGGTTGGTGTGCCTTCTTTTGCAAGATAACATATTTGTACATGTTCCCACTGACTGAGTCTAACTTTGGGAAAAACACGGTCCTGACATCTGTATGGACCAAAGAAAAACATATATATCTATTAGAAGGCCATGTTTTACAGAGCAGGCTTTGAACTGTAGGGGATCGACCACTCAAAGCAATTTACACTCCAACCCACACTCACCTTTTCACACAGCACTTTATTATCTTCTCTAAGGTGCTTTAACTACTCTGCGTTCGCACCTCTGGCCAGTATGGACTCAACTAACCTAACATGTATGTCTTTGAACTGTGGGAGGAAGCCGGAGTAGCCAGAGGGAACCCACGCAGCACATTCAACTCCACACAGGCCAGCTTAGAGGTTTGAACCTGTCTTGCTATAAGCCACAAGTACTAAAAACAAATACGATTTTTTAGGGAAGCTCAGTAAATACCGACGGTCATATTTCTATTTTCATGGTTCCTGTTAAAACCAAGCAAGCTGTGTTTTCTAAGTCTTCATTTTTTATTTTTGACTCCTCCAAGCAGATCCACCTGCAGGCTCGGAGTAGAGTCACTCTACTCAACAAGAACTTCACAGTGCCTGCAGCACTGTGGACGAGGCAAGCAAGCTGCATGAAACATTTACAGTGAGTCTGGCTTTTTCTTTCACTGTGTGATGTATACGAGTGCTGTCCATTGTTCTTATGACAGGATGAGTGGATTGTAAGGGTGAGGATCCAAATACTGATAACATCTCTTAACAGAGAATCCAAAACAATAGAGATCAGAAAGTAAAGAAACAAATAAATGTTTGGAGCATAGCAGATGCTGTTACAGAGACTACACTACAATGCACCACCTGCATGTGTCCAGCAGGTGAATATTAAAGAAGTACAACAGGAATGACTGCGCGACTGTCGTGTCTCCAGCTGTCTGTGTCTGCAGCAGAGTATAATCGAGGCTCAAGGGGAAGACAGGACTATTCATAGACAGGGAGGGCTGATTAGGGAAGGACCAACACGAGGGTAACAGGACAATCAGGACATTCAGAGGGAGACAGGAAGCAAAACTAACACAGGACGTGAAAGAAAACAAAAGTAAAAAGTAAAGGAAGTAACCAAAGGAAAGTGATACAGACATGAATACTCCCACCTATCACGAGTAGAGGAAACAATCCAAAGGAAAACACAGTAAACATGGAAACAAGAAGACACACACCAAACATGAGGACAGAGGCATAAAGATGAGAGAGAGGGAAAAACAAGCAGGAACTTGAACTACCACAAGAACCAAAACACAGGCTGGAAACTGAAGCTCGTCACACAGAAATGAACTCTTCAAACACTTGAAGCCTGAACTCTAATCCAACAAAACAAAAACCAGGGCCATGACAGAGCTTCTCTTTTGCACACAAAGTAATAAAAACATTGAAGATATCACATCTAGATGAAGAAAAACATGTCGATAGAATGTTGTTTTTCAGTCGATGGCCTCGACCAGGCTGCACAGCCATCAGACTCTGTCCTACAGTTAATCACAGCAGCAAACTGGAGGCTGGACACATGATGTTTATCAGAAGCTGCAAATGTGATCAGAACAAAAAGTTCATTTTTGTATTGATATTTTATATCAGGGATTTCTGTCTCTACTGTTGAAGGACTGTTTGCAGCCCGCTCTTCTGCATCTGCAGCCTTCTGCAAAACCTCCCATGTTTGAAAATGGACTTAAATATGTAAACAGACAGAACTTGAAACCGACACGTTGCTCGTCTCACTGTTGTGCTGACCTTGAGCGCCTCGGTCTGCAGGCCGAGTCCTTTGGTGCAGAGCTCCATGACGCTGTAGGAGCAGAAGGTGTCTCGCACCCTCAGCTGGCTGACGGCCAGCAGCCACAGCGCTGGGTTGGACTCCAGCTCCACCGGCGGGATCAGGATGGACTGGTGGCCAGAATACACGCTGCAGACAACACAAAGGCTTTTCAGTGTGTGTGTCGGGGATCTGCATGTGCCGACTCAGAACAATAACACAAATTTAAAAATGGACGACATGTTTACAAGCACTAACAACATCAGGAGACTGACGAGTGTTGATGATCTGGTTATGTACTGCACTGGTTTGGACAGTAAAACTAACATTCACTCACTATAACCAGTCACACTTGCTAAGACTATGATTTATTGTCCTGAGAAACCGGCCAACCAGCACCACAGGGTTGTGTAACAATCTGATGTAAATGTGAGCTACTGTCAGCGAGGACGACGTGAAATCCTCAAGCCGAGGATGATTTGTTTTATTCCGAAGACATTTAGCAGCAGATATCGGCTCCAGACGAGTTGAGTATTTATGAGAAGAAGATTTGAAAGTAAGCAGACCTGCAGGCTGGAGCCAAGATTTAACGATTTAAAGACTGTCGAGTTTCAGACGGAGACCTTTAAACATTAATATTACTTATTATTATTATCAATAAGTATAAATCACTGTTCTTGTATTTTAAGAAGGTGAGGCAGGGATGAGTATAACCAAACCTTCCATGTTAAAAAGCTAATTTTCCCCCCTTTTACTGAAAATACATCAATAAACACTTAAATTGTCTTACACTCAAAGAGTAAGACAATTTATTATTTACAACTCTACCCAACTCTTCCAGGACGTGGATTCAGGTTATCTGGGCAGGAAATGCTCAAATACTTTAGAACATTTTAAATGTTCAACATAAAAAAGTTATATTTATTTATGAATTTCTTAAATTGCCACTAAGTGTTGTCAGCAAACACAATGAGTCACTGCATCCACAGGTTCATGCAATATAATGCAAGAGTAAAAGAAAGGGGGCAGCTCCAATCTGTAGTTCCCAGCCTGTGTCATGTTACATCCATATAGTGAAGCAGTTTTTAAGCATTGTTCAACTTAAGGTTTTCCTTCCCCCCATTTAACAGGAGGGTGTTCAAAATAACAACATGCAAGCTTGTTTTTAGCAGCGTGCTGCAGTACTCATGGTGCATGCAGCTCAGGTTTGAAACCCACTGCACACATTATTAAATGAAAAAACAAAGAAAGATGAAGTCATGAAACAGAAGTAAAGCATTTTAAAATGAACTTAAATACATAAATATATATTAACCCTCTCGAGGCAGGTGTTGCTGATTTGCAGCAGCTAAAAACGAACAACCTGATTACCCCACGTACATATTTTATGAGTTGTTTTTACTCAGAAGTACCACTGCAGGACTCGGTTGTGCATTAGCAACAAAAACTCAATTTGAGCCTGAGAGGGTAAATAAGAGTATTAATCCTTAAAACAGATGTAGGGCTTTAATGATTCACAAAACATCTGCTTTTATTTACTTTTCTGGAAACCTGGGAGTTACTTTGGGAGTACGGTGGGTGTGCCTTTGATTTTGCACCTCGGACACAGTTTTGTTCCATCCTTCAAACCACGGCGGGAGTGTTTCAGAGTGCTTAGCTTGAATAGGGACTAAAAATTTTCTGTGCCATTCCTGCCAGTTCCTGTCCTCCTTATCTGCTCTGAGCTGCTTGATGAGCTATGTTGAATCTGATTGAATAATACACATTGTCTTAAGTGGGATACTAAGTTACTGCAGCTACATACAGTACAAGCTCATATCTGTGCTGCTTTGATTTGGACCATCCATTCTTTAACGTAAAGAAGTGCAAAATAAATGACTGGAGGATCCTCAAAGAGTGTAAAATGCATATTTAATGGTTTGTAAGTGGGTGGAGATGCATTTAGGAGCTGCACCAACCTGCAGAGACACCAGAGGACGAAGCCGAGGCCGCAGTAGGGATCCAGACAGATGGCAACTTCTCTGGACGGGTACAGCTCACACTGCAGCTTCACTGACCGACAGAAGGCTGCAACTGCATTATGGGACATCTGGAGCAGAGAGGAGACGAGAGGGGAGGGAGAGAGACACACGAAACACACAAAAAGACAAACAAGGAGCAAGATAGGAAGGTTCACAATGAATTTAAATTTAAAGTAAAACATTTCACATTTCCCCCCCGGTAAATGAATCTTTGAAAAGCGAGCGACATCTTAGTTGGAAGAAGCGGTTTGTGTGTTTGGACTGAGCCCTTCAACTGTGAGCCAAATGTGCTTTCATTCTGCTTTCTGTTTACTCATGTTGCTGCTGCTCTGATGGCTGAATTTCCCTCTGGAATAAGAAAAGTAATGACTGGAGGAGGAGGAAGAGGAGGGGAGTGGGACCAGGCGGCAGTGGTTTGGTGAGGATTAGGGCTGAGCTGACCTGAACTCCGGCCAGCATGCCGGTCGTCGACACGCTGAAGTCCAGATAGGCCAGGCCGTCCGGGTTGGTGGGCTTATGGAGAGCTGGAGGCTTCTTCTTTGGCAGGTCATCTGCAGCATGCACACACACACACACACACACAAACACACACACATATATATTTATTTCATTGCACTCAAGAGCACAGTCTTATTTCAAACACTGACCTCCAGCTGAACCCAGAGAGAAAAGGGCCTCAAATACTCTGCTGCAGCAGAATCACAGCAACATGACTGATGTCTCACTTTCCATATAAGAAGAGACCGCTTTAAAGCACAAGCATGGTGATACTCTGTGTTTCTCTCACTGTTAACAAATCCCAAGGGAAGACAGAACCAACAACAAACAGTGCTAACAAGCTCTGTGTGTGCAACTGCAGCCTGATCGATCCCCGTCCTACATCACTGAGTATCGGCGTTACGCTGGGTGAGATATTCCTTTATAATCAGTGGCACTCACCCACCGGTGTTTATTTTCACCTGATCCATATATACAAGTGTTCTTAATCTGTATTCGTACTCTGCTGAAAAAGCAAAACAGCCACACGGAGATGAGAGTAAAAAAAGCATTAGGGTGTATGTGTGTGAGAAGAGCATGTATCTGAATATTCATCTGAATATGTATCTCTGTTTTGCAGTCACAGGGAATATGTTGGTCCCTCTGATATTTTTCACAAACCTACAAACTTCATATTTAAATGATCATCCATGCACAGTTCACATGTTCTCATCTGACCAGTTTCTGACTAGCTGGAGATTTGTTGCTGGGAAGAAAATCTCTACAGCGTGCACTAAACTCAAGGCTCTCACATTTAATCTGGTCCGCACCTGTCTTGAAATTTTGACCTGCCTAGATGTAGCCTGTCCGCTCTGTGCACTCATTAATAGGCAGTTGCACCTCCAGACTGCAGGCTGTGAAAGGTTTGGTTCTCTGGGGTGAGTTTAAGCAGCCAGAGATTTGGATGGAAACCACAGGACGAAGGACAGCGAGCTGAAACAGGCGGCCAACTGTCACATGGAAGTGAACCCTAAGTGATCCCAAAACCACAGCAAGTGCAGATAACCAATTTCTTTAGTGGGTTCACTGAAGAAAACATTAAGTGTTCCAGTTGTTCTATTTAAAGGGTGATCTAGATCTTATTCTTTGCTTTTAGTCATCTTGGCTCAGCTGAACTCAGTAGAGCGATTTGGAGATTTTTCTTGAAGGGCAAAAACAAAGGGAAAGAGTGTCTGTGATTTATAACACGCACATAAAGAAACAGAATTATTTTTGTTTTAATAATAATTGGAAGCTTAAATTGTAATTCAGTTCATTCGATTCAGACCCATGCTGACAGCAGACCAAACACTAGCGGCGATATGGACTGAGGGGTGTGGAAAAGACACTTCCACACGCATCAATTCAATAAACTGATAACAGACTTGCAGCTACAGCGAGTTTTTATTTTCTGATAAATCACAGAGTGATGGAGCTGTAAAGGCAGGTTTCATCACAGCAGAGGATTTCATTTAATGTGCATTCTTTAGGTTTATATCTGCAACCAGAACTACTCAGACTGCATTGTGAGGCGGCTGTGCACCACCTGCATTTATGTTAAATTAAAGTAGCGTGATTTCCCTGTGCGGATATGAATGAAACGCTGTACCGGTGTCCAGCACTGGGGGCCAGTTCCTGATGTCCACCGTGGCCATGGCCTCTTTGGAGCGCAGCAGCTTACAGATGACGGCGGTGGTCATCACACACGCCGAGTGACTCACCTGCAAAATTAGAAAGAGAAAGACAGAAGAAGAAATTAAGCTCCCCTTTTTTTCCCCAGAGGAGATCAGAAGTCAGCCAGAGCCATATGAGTCTGGAATTAGCTGGGAGCGAGAGCTTGAACCTTGGAGGTCTGACTGAAAGAGAAACCGCATCGGTTTAACAGACAAATTAAGAGTCTGACCTCGACAATCATCTTAACAGTGGGCAGGGTGGTGGAGATGTTCTGAGGGTGAGGCGGTCGCACTGTGATGGGAACACAGCCGGCGTACAAGCAACCGTAAAAGGCTGCGATCAGGTCTATACCTGCAGAAGAAGCAGACACACAGGTGTGAACGATGCTTGCAGTGTCCAGGTGCTGTTACCTGAAAAGTACATTGAACATCTGCATCGTCTCTCACCTGGCGGGTACACCAGAGCGACATGATCTCCTTCCTGCAGACCGCCTCTCTCCATCAGCAGAGCTGCCACTCGCTCCGCCCTCTTATGCAGCTGCAGACAGGTGAGAGAGCTGGACACTGCCCCCTGCGGGAGGTGAGAGGGGGGAACGGTGTGAGCCATCAAGAAGCAACCTGCCACACTCAAAGGGCAAAAACTGCAGTTCATCTAACGGCCACTTGAGGAGCTGTGTTAAAGCTTAAAGTTATGGATAATTATTATTCAGTTTTCTACTTGCTTGAATTAGCTCATAATCATCGTTAACCTGTTTTTATTTATTTACTTAAATTAACCATGATAATGAAGCCTGAAATTCCTGATTTTAAGCCACTGATTCCATGGATAAAGATCCGTTTTGGTATCGATTATAATCCACTTTTATTCTCCTTGCATTCAGCATCTTAACATCACAGAGACGTGATGACTGATCTACAGATCTTTCACCTACAGTTCACCAGCAGCAGGTTATACGGTTCAAAATGTACAATTTTTTACGGTGGTCAGTTGTGCGCGAGTGTGCTGGTACCCGAGAGCTGAGCAGGGTGTAGAGGATGTGGTCCGGTGTGGTCTGAGCTCGCCACTGCAAAACCTCGGACAGGAACAGAAACTGCAAAACAGAAATAAACACTTGTTTTACACACACTTTGACAGCTTAATCTGTGTGTGTGTGTGTGTGTGTGTGTGTGTGTGTGTGTGTGTGATCTGATTTCTGTAAATAGTTCAAGTTGCTGATGTAATTCAAGAAACAGCAGAGGTGCATCAAACACGTTTGCAAGGAGAATAAAATGATACATTTCTCCCATCATTTCAATTATTGCAACATCAGCATTTTGAGATAAAACTGCAAAGCAGAGAGACATTAAAGTGAAACAGAGCTGATAGCACAGAGGGAGTGCAGCGCATGTACAAAAAGTTTTTAGCATCGAGGAACTCCATGTCAACGTGTGCTTACTCACCACTTACTGCTTTTTACTGCTGAGTCTCTGCCTTCTGCCCGGCACATTAAAGCAGTTTAATCAATATCACAGGCGGTGAAATTTCAAAGCAGGTGAAAAAAACAAAAAACTGCCTCTAAAGATTATATTTACAGGCAGTTAAATGATGCAGACTGACTGACTTGAATGATGCTGAAAATCTGACTCCATCAGGCAGTTGAAAAAGTAGGCGGCCTGTTCAGAAAGTTCATTGTCAGTTTATGTTCATAAATCAATTTGTCCTTTTCATAAAAACAGTTTTTTCTAGATGTGTTGTTTTCATAAAATGTCAAATTTGCAACTTCTCCCAGTTCTGTAGCTGCTCATTAACATTTCAGCAGATTTCCTAAAAACACGACATCAAAATATTTCTATTAAAGTAAAGAGGAGCAACTTCTTGTTTCAGCAAGATTAAAACTTTAAGCAACATTTTAATTACCTAAAAGTACTGTATAATAGATTTTTTAAAATGTGTTTTTAACCTCGTACCACCGTATTCACCCATGAGAGGGAGGATACAGAGTATAGAGGAGTCACAAAAACGACGACCCGCTGAAGTTCAAACTGAGCATCACGGAGGAAGAAAGGTTTTTAAGTGTCTTATCTGAGTATTTCAGAAGCAGCTGATCTGCTGGGATTTTTCCACATCCCTCTCTTGGGTTTACAGAGAATGAGTCGAAAGAGAGAGAATATCCAGTGAGTGGCAGGTTTCTTTGTGAAAATGCCATGTTGCCTTGCAGCTGACAGGAAGGCAACACTAACTCAGATAACCCATCGTCACAGCCAATGTCTGCAGAAGAGCATCTCTGAAAATGAGCTGCAGCAACAAAGGACCACACTGGGTGCCCCTGCAGCTCATACTCTGGAGACAAACGTTTCCGGTCTGAGTCTGATGAATCTGGTACAAAAACACAAAGGCATCCATCCTGGCTTGTTTGGTTTGGTGTAATGTTGTGGGGGATATTTTCTTTGCACACTTTGGGACTCTTAGTATCAACTGAGTATCAGTTAAACATCACAGCCTACCAGAGTATTGTTGCTGACCACGCTCATGCTATTATGACATGGGCAGTGTACCCATCTTCTGATCTTTGCTGATCCAGCAGGATTGCAGCACCTTGTTTAATGTAAGCATGAAGCATCTGTGAAGACAAAAGAGGCTCCAGCCCAGAAGCTGTGTGTACCTGACAAAGCGTGCACGAGTCCAAGTGTCTGTGTGTTTGTGGTTATTCGACTATGCAGACGATTCGTTTGGCAAATATTTATGGAGGACTGAACAACTTCCATCAGAGTTCACTGAGTCATAAATGAAGGTGAAGTCTTGACACGACTTTTCATACAAAATATTCTGTTTGATGTCAAACATAGAAGAGATGAAAAATGTTCTAGACGATGGAGTCAAAGAGATTTGATGATTTTGCTTGACTGAATTATTAATAGTTTATCAGAAGTGTAGCAGATTAGTCTTCCTGTCAGTCAACTTGTCGCTTACTCAATGATCTTCTGATCTCTCGGCTTTTCAACATAAAGTTACCTTTTTTTGGGCAGAGCTTGGTTTAAACGGAGTTGTGATGTTATTTCTTGAGCTGAGACTTTGTTACGCAGCTGTTTGCCTCACCTGGTCGTTATCATCAGTCTGTCCCAGGTCTCTGCCGCTGGCCTGAGCGATTCTCTTCCCTGACACCAGATTTCCCACCATCACAGAGGCGGGACCGATCTCTGCCACACACAGACACAATCAGCACATCAACAACTACAACTACCCACAAGGTTACCACCTAAAAACCCTGAGCAGACCCTCACCCACCTGGCTGTTTCTGCCGCGGTTTGGGCAGGTTGGTGACACAGGTGTGGGGGCACATCAGGACATTGCAGGGGTGCAGCCCCCCCTCCAGGTACAGCTGCTTGATCTCCGACAGGTGGATGCCGCCCAGAGGAGTCTTGGGAAGGGTGTTGGCCGGCACCAGAGCCAGACAGAAGACACCCACCCCGTGGATGCTGTCTATGGCCTGAGAGTCATGAGGGAGTTTGATCAGACTGCAGATGGGATTTAACGTCCCCATGGGGTAACTCGCTTTGCTGAGAGTAGTCTAACACAATACACACACCAAACACAGTACACGATCCAAGTGTCCTACACAGTGTCCAAAATAACCGCAAGAAAACGACATTTCAAATAAGACTTGATCTAAATGCAATAAGGCTGCATTGCATCACATTTGAACGTGCAGGGAAAGCACCTGCAGTACGCGGCTCATCCACTGGAAGCTGTCCTCCTCCGTGGAGTCCGGTCTCTGCTCGGCCACCACCACGATCCTCTCATCTCTCAGCACCGTCACAGAGAACACAGCTATCCTGCACAGACAGCAACACCAACCTGTTTGTTTTCTATTACATGAGTAATGTTTTATCCCACTGTGTTAATTCTATTCAGCTTTTTTTTACCCATCAAGCTGCTTTCTTTGTCTTTTATTTTGTACTATTTATTGAGCTCTTTCTACTAGAGCAGTTTTATTTTATTAAGCTATTCTGACGAGTTTTATCATCTATTTTTTCCATTCTGTTATTTATTGGCTGACTGGTCGGTTCCTGTTGTTTGTGACACAGTTATTTCACAAAGGATAAATAAAGTACAGCTTATGATGGATTATCTAGATTGGTGTCCAGACGTGAAAAATGTGTTTCCTTTAGTTTTTTCACACTGTGAGTGTGTGATGTCACACTGCGAGGAGCGCAGCAGTGGTCACTGAGAAACTCTGAGAGGTCGCTGCAGATGGACAGTTTGATGAAGGTGGGTTCCCAAGTCTTCGTTCTTTCCTTATCGCCTTTGTTTGTCAATTTCATTTTTTTCCATGGATCCTTCTTCATTTGCTTTCCTTGTTTCATAACCTCTTCCTCCTCGTCGCTCTTCTTTATTTCCCTTCCTTCCTTCGTCTGTTTCATTTCTCCTTGGCTTTTCATGTGTCCTTCTTTCTGCCCTTATAACTAGCTTGCTTCCTTATCACCCTTATTTGCTCATTCTGTTCCTTGTGCTTGTTTCCATTCCCTTGGTTTGTTTTTTCATTTCATCCCTTTGCTTTTTCCTTATTTTTCCTTTTCCTCATTTCCTTCATTTCATCCTTATTTATATACTTTTAAACATCTTTGTTTCCTTATTTCCTTTATTTCTAAATGTCTAAATATTGTTTCCATGACTCCTTCTTACTTCCCTGTTTCACTACATGTCCTTTTCTTGATTTCCTCCTTCTTTTTTGCATATCACCTTTTCTACCCTTGTCACCTTATTTCCTGCATCCTTATTCAATCCTTTGCTTCCTTTCCTTGTTTCACTGCATATTTCCTCTCTTTACATATTTTCTTCTTCTCTGTCGTCTTCGTTTTTCCTGTAATGAAGCCCAAAAGCAGAAACTAAAGGCAAACATGGATGCTGGTATAATGAAACCTGATGGACTTTCAGCCTTTCTTCTTCATGTTTCCTGAGACTGTTTCTGCAGCTGCTTCCTCCCTGAGTAGAAACTTTAAATAGCTCCGGGAAGCGTCATCAGAGGCTGTCAGGTAAAGGATGAATTTCCTGCTCGGTGGCCGTGGACACAATTAAACTTCACTCTATTACTGTTTCTGGATTCATCCACTATTGCTCTACTTTATTAGATTTATTATGAGCGATGGCATTGCTCATTTATCAGCGTATCAGCATTTATCAGCCAACGTACCGATGTCGGACATCTCGCTGGTTTTCAGCTTCTGTCGATGGGAACGATGATAAAAAAGATAATAAAATAAAAACCGATTCGCTGGCGGTCGAGTCATGTGACATTTGAGAAATGTGTGACTGCAATATTACATTTTCAAGTCCAGCAAACTTTAGTCTTTGTGTTTTAACATTTTAAAACCTGGAGCTAAATTGAGCTAAACTGTTTTCAGGTTTGTTTCTTTTCCAAAACCAAATTTGCTGTTATTAATCACAACTGTCCGTCATTAACATTTTATATACACATAAAACATCTTTTGGTGGCAGAACTGAAAGGTCACAAACTGCTGGAAACCTCTGATCTCTGTCAGGAGCCGTTCTAGTTAATGGAGAGTTATGATGACTCATGGCGACGACCACAGACTGGAGGTAAAAGATGGCCACTAAGACACCTTCTGTTTGAATTGTGAAGCTGAGCGTGTGCACCGTGGCCATCTTGTTGTTTTGAAACAACAAGCGAGGGATGGACCTACGTTCATCTTTTATATACAGTCTATTGTGACCCTCAAACCCCACCCACTTCACACTCACCTGCCCCTGTAGACGAATTTCATTGGCTCCACTGCGAGTGCAGTGGCAACGATGTCATCGGCATTGTGCCTCCGCCCGCTCACCATGATGAGCCCGTCCATCTTGCCTGTGATGAAGACGAGGCCGCCGGGGCCAATGAAGCCCAGCAGGCCAGTCCGCACGAAGGCGTACTCACTGATCAACCCCCCGCTGGAGCTCACCGGGTAAACCTGCAGAGGACATTACAGCATTACAGTGTTTTTTTATTTTGGCTTTTAGTGTTTGGGTTCATGTCTTCACTTCGCCTCACCTCAAAGGTGTTCTTGGTCATGCCCGTAAGGCCGTAGTACGATGTCCCGGTGGCGATGGAGCAAACGCAGAGCTCGCCGATCTCATCGGTCTGACAAAGCTGGGGCACGCCTTCCGGCTTTACTACACACACCAGGCCTGGGAGGACGAGACACACACACGGTTAACACTCCTGAAATGTCTCTGCTTGTTTTAAAAAGAAGTTATTTATGGCACGAGGAGGAACATTATTCACTCCAAACGCACCTGTTTATGAGACTCTCATTTCTCAAAGCTAAACTCTGAGCTTAAAGTAGGTTGTTCCAACCCGAGATGACGTCCCCTCCCGTCTGTGTCACAGCAAAACCAGGTTACCCGTGTAAAACTGAACTGGTGACAATGTAGTCCCTTTTTAAAGAAATATTTTGGGCTTCTTAGATTTAATTGTAATATGTTAGTGGAGAGAGAGCAGGAAAGCTGGAGAAACACCAGCAGCAATGCACAGAGTAAATGGCCTTGGGCTGGGTTCAAAGCCAAGCCTCTACATTAGCCCTACAGCAGACTGGTCGCCTGCTCAGTCCAGGGAGCTACAGCAGTACCTGTGGCACACTCTCACGAGCTTTCTGATTCTAGGATTGGCTGTGCGGACAGCGATAAGTATCACGTTACACAGCACAACTATAAAATGCTGCATCTAGATCAGTTTTAAGTGACTCAGCAAACACTTTTTACCCCGTGCTTCAGCATCTTATTTCAGTCATTACAAAGAGAAATGCATGCAAGATTCCACAGAAGCTGAAGGAAACAGATTTTGCTCCTTAGTTTAGTTTCCTTTGTGGTGCTGCACGTATGATCTCTGTGGTGAACGCTGGGCAGAGCGACTTCACAGAGGCTGTTGCTGCCTGTGTGCTCACTCAGACCGACTGGAAAGGACCAACTTTTATTTTGGAGCATCAGTTTTATCTTGGGAAGGTTCCTAACTGAGTGAAGCAGCACAGTAAGAGGTGATCAAATTCCCGTAATACTAAAGAAAAGCTCCAAAATGACGACTCATTTACTTTTAACCCATGAGATGAAACCGTTTTATTATTGAGTGCAACTGCTTATTATCAACATTAAAATCTTTTAGTTTGCAGCTCAATGAGCACATTTAACTGTGGACTGCATTTTTATTCACGACTCTAATTGCAGACTAATCTGCACTAAAACTAATCAGTGAGAAGATTTTTACTCTAATCCATCTGCTGTAAAACGGGACAAACAAATAATGCCACTGGTGTCTGTGGATTCTTCAGTAAGACCTGAACGGATGATGTTTGGCCCTAAATGCTTTTCAATGTTCTGTGTTACCTTGTTAAACTATGTGTGGGCTTCACCCTGGAGGGGAAAACTCGGCTCATTAGAACAGATTACAGGCTCTGCAGCCGTACTGAAAACTCCTGAGTTTCCATAATGTACAGCAGAACAACGCTTAACTCGCTCGTTCATGAGCAGGGAGAGAGAAAGGGGTTAAAGACCGGACACTGATGAAAAAGAGAAGCTGGGTCTTAAACTAATTTTACGATTTAATGAACTTCAATTACAATAGATGGAAAACTAGAAAGGAGAAAAAAGTTTGAAAAGTTTGCTGGCTCCTTACGTCAACATTCAGTCACATTTTTGCTTGAATTGCACATTTCGATTACAATCCCCGCTTTTATTTTGTAGAAACACAAATTCCCTGAACCCAAGTCAGGCATATGTGAAGCTCGCAATCATTTTAGGAAACTGTTTAAAACCCTTGTCTTCTCCAAGATACATTATACTGCTGTTTAAACGTACCCCACGACTTCCTGCTTCCACGATTAAAACTCAATGTGACACTAAAGTTCTGTATTTGTAATTTTCCTGATATAAATCTCAGTTACACCAGCTCAACCACACTTCCTCTTACAACACACACACACACAGATCGATGTACCTCCGGGTGTGACGGTCCCCACATCCTGAACAGTGAGCACCGACAGCCGCTCCTCCGTGTCGACCCTGACGACGCCGTAACTCAGGCCCTGCATGGACAGGACGCCCCGACCTGGAGGCTGGCTGCTGTCCTCCACCGGCCTGAACACACAACCCGACACACACACACACAGGTGATCCTCTGACACAGCTCGCATCTGTCCAAACTGACAGACCGCCACACTGCAGTACAGCACACTACTGTGCAAACCGCTCATGTATTTCAATTTAGCTTCTACGTGTTTCTTTAGACAGCAGCTGCTGTTTCACTCATTCTCGTCGCAGTCCACCTGCCCCATCATTCTCTTTCCACTAAACACCGACCTTTGGATTGTTCTAGCATAAAACAGACGCCTCAAATGATGAACCAGTGTTGTATCTACACATCAAAGACAAATAGCAATTTTAAATTGAATCTTTAGGCACTTTGCTACTAGCTGCCTAAACACATCACTTATTCCCATTTCTTCAGGTGAATCTATGAAACTTGGCTGCATGCATGTGAGACTGCTGCACATCTCTGCATAATCTGTGACGTGGAGGTTGTGTTTACGTACCTCCTGATGGCCACCGTCAGGGCCTCGGGGGAGCTGGCGCAGGGACAGATGACTTCAGTTCTCAGCCCTTTGGTCTGAAAGACGTTGAGGAAGGCGTCGCAGGACGAGATGGACCCTGACAGACAGAAACAATAACTGAGTCAGGACAGCTTCAGTTCAGGTGTCGAGCCACTTTTCCCACAAGCTCCTGACACGTGCAGAATTGAAAGAGCTGTCATGTGAAAGGCTTTTAATCACATGTACCAGATCCCTGAATGTGATTAAAAAACACTCAAAAGACCTTTTGTACTGAAGTTTTAAAATGTTCCAGGCCAGTCACCTTTTTATGACCACGTCTCTGGGCAGGTGCTGGACGTTTCTTTCTATTTTATTAGCACAGGTAACAGCGCACGGCTGGTTTCATATTTTGTTTTTGGGTTTCTTATTTTCTCATTGGAGGGCAGCTGTATGCAGGGATCAGCTGAAATAATTATTTAGGGCAGGAATATGAGTTCATCCCAGCGCACTCAGGCTAACATGTGTCACCATGTCAGAGCATTTAAAAGTCAGTAATGTTGCCAGAAAGCTGTGTGTTTTCTATCTATTTGGTAAATGAATGGTAAAAATGAAGTGTGTATTCATAACTGTGAAGAGAGATAAACTGAAAAAACAAATCAACACCTTTTTGTGTCGTTAACATAACATTTCCCTTCAACTATCACTGCTGCTTTCAACAGTCCACAGTGGTTATCGTGCATCCATCTGTGTGCTTGACTACAAATGAAAATGTTTGTCACTGACAGACAAACCTGTGTGATTTCTGAGTGTTTATGATATGCTAAGATTAAAGGTGTACCGACACACTTGTGTCTCTCGCTGCTTCACCTCTCCTTTGATTTGTTTTGTCTCCAAATTTCTACATTATTTGTGGGGAATTTCAGGAAGGTTTCATCAGAGATAGAAAAGTTTGAATTTCATGTCTCATAAATGCTTATCACACTGAAATGAGAAACTTTGGGAGAAACTCTTTTGATTTTTTCAAATAAATATCACCAACCAGATCCAGATATCCTGGGGCTGATCCTCTAATGTCAGAGCACACCTGAAGGCACCATGAGACAGCACCTGCTCAGAATAAATGTTATGACCTGAAAATCCTGCCTCGTGCCAAACATGATGCAACATGATGCAAGTTTCAAGTCACTGCAGCTTAATGCAGAAAAACAAGTTTTCTGTGGTCACTGCTAAACCAGTTAAACAGTTACTGAACTTAAAGATACAAACCATCAGTCTGGATGGTGAAAACATCACTTCCTGGTTCCAAGCTGTTGTATTTTTGTCTCATGTTAGGCTGAAAACCTTTTCATGTACCAAGTTTGCGCAGTCGGACACATCCTGCTCTATTCCTGTAAAGTGACCCAGTTTCCTGAAATCCCGAGAGTTTGCTTTTTTTCTCATTTCCCTGACATTCTCTATCTGGAATACACCTCGCTAAACTCCCCCGTTAGTGAAAGAGCTCGGCTGTGAAGGCTGAGCGCGACCTTACAGGGGTTTGATCCGTCGGCCACCAGCAGCATGCGCAGCGAGCTCAGGTTGATGTCCTTCTGGTCTTTGTGGGCCACCAGAGCCCAGTGCATGTCTCTGGACTTCACACAGGCCACCTTGGCTGCAGGAGGAGATGCGCGTACAGAGAAAAAGAGTGAAATTAGCATTTAATCTATTTGACAGGCAGGTGAATGGAGGGACTTGACTAAGATGAGTGACAGGTGTGTGTGTGTGTGTGTGTGTGTGTGTGTGTGTGTGTGTGTGTGTGTGTGTGTGTGTGTGTGTGTGTGTGTGTGTGTGTGTGCCTGACCTTTGTACTGGCAGACTTTCTGGATCCACGACAGAGGGTTGACCTTCATCAGCGAGTAGGGCACGCTGATCACGTGCATCATGTTCATCACACTCTGCACACACACACAGAAGAAGACATTGAGGTGAGGCTTCATGTTAATATCTTTGGAATAAAACTCTTCTGGTTTTTTATGTATTATTTGATCATAAATGATAAATGGGCAGGAGGCTGGGGAGCGTGGGCTGAAAGCCTGAGGTGAAGTCAACCAGGTAAGCTACGAAGATATCTGTGCATTAGGTAAGACAGGTATAATCCCTTATGAGACGCTTCAGTGTTTCCCACACAAAGACCTCACTCGGGCAGCTCGCCAGCTACATCAGTCCCAGCCGAGTGATTCATTTTAGTATTTTTACATTTTTCAAATCTGTCTGCAAGAAAAACCCTCTGCACCCAATTTAGGCTGGTTCTCTTGCTCTTATTTTGAAAGTCCATTCACTGCTAATCATCTTGCTCTGGCCCCTTCACTCTTTGGTTTTCTTTACTAACCAGCTCACTGGCCAGGTTGTTAATGTGCAGGTCATTAATATAATTCAGGCACTTCCCCGCAGATAAAGGATCCTGTCCCACTGTTGGACTAAACCCAAGTCCACCTGCTTGGATGGAAACACTAGTTTGGACTTTAGCAGAACAGAACAAGGACAGTGGAGTTCATCAGCAGCTGGAGGAGATCCTTTTGCTTTTGGGAAGCAACTGGGAACAGAAGAGGCAGAGTGTGAGAGACGAGTGACTGCCAGAGTAAAGCTTGAGGCAGAATTGAGCCCAAGCTGCTGCAGGAAACACTTACAGCACTCAGATGCTACACAGAGCTCAGCAGACCAGCCTCTACACGTTTAACCTGCGTACTGACACCAGGGGGCGGTGTCGTAAAACCAAGTGTTAAAAGTCATCTTTGATGATCTTTTGCACAAATGCAGAGGGTCACTGATGTCCGGCTACACGTCATTGGCCTTTTTCTTCCATAACCCGTCGTTCAGCACAGCTAAAGAGCTCCGCAAGTTCAATACATCAATGTAATGGACTTGTCTTTCTGTGAATCCTATTACTTACTTTTAATTTCCCATCCTTCTTGGTTCCCAATTTATTCTTCTGAATTGTTTTTATGTGGATCATAATTTTGCTTTTATTTATCTTGTAATTATTTCTTTTATTGATTGTTTTTCTTGTTTTCTGTGCAGCACTTTATATACGGCATGCTTAATTGTGAGTTTTAAAAATACTGACTTGACTTAATAAAGTGTAAAAATTAAAATTAAAAACACAATTATCATTTATGTATTTAATCAACCCTGAAATATAGTTCTTCTTCCAGATGTCAGAGCAATGAAAACGCTTGTTATTTTCATACTGAGAGATTTATTCATCTTGCAAAGGCACTGTTTTTGCTTTGGACAGGGTGGATGTGTTTATTCTACACAAGAAGGAAAGGACGTTTAATGATGCTATAAGCTGGTTAACTTATACTTAAAGGCTCGTTAATATACTTAAAATGGTAAATGGTCTGTATTTATATAGCGCTTTACTAGTCCCAAAGGACCCCAAAGCGCTTTACATATCCAGTCATCCACCCATTCACACAAATATCTCATAATAACAACCGTGTTTATAATCATGTTCCATATGGTAATGGTAAATGGCCTGTATTTGTAAAGTGCTTTACTGAGTCCCTATGGACCCCAAAGCGCTTTACACTACATTCAGTCATTCACACACTGGTGATGGCAGCTACATTGTAGCCACAGCCACCCTGGGCGCACTGACAGAGGCGAGGATGCCGAACACTGGCGCCCCCGAGCCCTCTGACCACCACCAGTAGGCAACGGGTGGAGCGTCTTGCCCAACGACACAACTTTACTCAAAAAGCCATCTCTAGACCCAGCAGTCTTAGCTAATTATAGGCCAATCTCCAACCTTCCTTTCATATCAAAAATCCTTGAAAGACTAGTTGTCAAACAGCTGACAGATCATCTGCAGAGGAATGGTTTATTTGAAGAGTTTCAGTCAGGTTTCAGAGCTCATCACAGCACAGAAACAGCTTTAGTGAAGGTTACAAATGAT